CCCCCCCCCCCCCCCCCCCCGCCATCGGAGTCAAGGTCGGGAGCTAGAATATAGCTAGCTCGGTGGGAGTCAAATACCGTGAGTCTCTGTGCTCGGTGCCATGCACAGTAGATAGAGCATGCGTGACTGAGGAACTTGCTGCGGTGAACACTACATGTACCCGAGGGAGTATTTAATTTCCCGGTACGGTATCACCGGGTTGCACCGAGTTGCACGTTCTTGGTGTGCCATTTGTCCATCATTTCCATCATGGCGGAGGTTCCGTAGATCGAGCTGCTTCGTACAACACGATGCGCATTCCTACTTAACCGCCGTGTCTGAAGAACCCGCATTGTTTTTTCCAATCCGTCGGCTGGTATTTTACCGCATGCATGCCGTTTCCGTTCTTCGAATCAATTTCAGGAGCCTTCCCGAACGACTGATGTCCAAGGCGGCAAGAGTTGCTCGTGACGTGAGGGTAAGTCCTATGTCGTACATCCACTACAGTGATGCAGTGATGGGTTGTTGAGTGCGGTATAGACCTCTCCGGCAGTTCTCATGAACTGCATGTAGTTTTGCAAAGGCAGCGCACGTGAAACAACTGATCTAATATAGAGAACACTTTGCTTTGCGGTAGAAGCCAGCCCCATCGTGGTTGTGTGAATTTGTCATGCCACCGCTCGCTGTAGTGCACACTCGGAGGAACGAACATGGTACCGTGACACCGCCGTGAGTCGTGATGTGTACGTGTCCTTCCTTCAGTGGACGCCCCCCCCCCCCACCTCAATAGACAACAAACCGTGTGCCACAACGACCCTCAAGAATTCCGCAGGCTTTGTTTTATCGGTACATGATGTGTCGCTTCGTGGCATGACAGGAACATCCATCGTACGCATTCTGGCAGCGTTGTTGCCGCTCTTGTTGTTGTTGCGTTTTTTTTGTGTAGTTGTTGTCGGTTTCTTTACAGTTGCTCCGAAGTTTTCCCCCCACACTCACACGCCCCTTCTTCTTCCTTTTCCACCCGCCATGATACGTGGTAACGTGCCGCCAGAGGCGCTCCGACATCCAGCTCGGCCGGATCGCTGGGCTGGAGGAGGACATTTTTCTGCTCTCCTCGGCCGTGAAGAGGCTGAAGCATGCCGCTGTGGTAGACGCCGCCCGACTCGCGTCGGAGAGGACGGCCGCCAAGGCCGCCAGCAACGACGCTGCGGTGCTCGCTCAAGCCCTCCGAGCCGACGTCAAGGGGCTGCAAGACACCGTGGCCAACCTCGAGACCGCTGCCGCTGCTGACGCCGCTCGATTCGAAATCGAGAGGACGGCCGCCGCGACCGCAAGCAACGACGCTGCGGTGCTCTCCCGAGCCCTCCGAGACGAGATCAAGGGCCTTCAAGGGATCGTGGCGAACCTGGAGACCGCCGCCGCTGCTGACGCGGCAAAGTTCCTCACGATGGAGACCGACCTTCGCGCCGAGCTCGTCGCCGCTGACGGCACGATCGACTCCCTCAAGTCCACCGTGCAACACCAGCGCCAAGACCTTGCGTCGTGCCTGCAGTGCTTCGCAGAGGTGAACGAGGCGTCATCCACCCTTTCCGTCTTGGCGGGAGAGAGTGCGAACCTGCTTGGAGGGGGTCTCCAGCCGGCTACCCCCAGGCCTGCGGAGGCCACCACGTGGGCAGCGGCCAGCCTGTCGGCAGCTCATGAGGCGCGCCAACGAGCGTGGTAAGCAAGCTCTTCGGCGTGCTAGCGCCCCCGGTAGAGGGTGGTAATTTGGCGCGGATCTACATGCTTCTAGTAGCGGTGGTGCTTGTTGTTTGTGAGGGCGAGGTTGGCATTGGCGCATGGTTACGATGATTTGTCGACCCCTCTCTCGCCGTTGGTGTACAGTAGCTGGGAGTGTTTGATGTCGATGGCTAAAGGTTGTTAGTTTAGCGTGGTTCACGATTAACTTGAAATATTGAACCCGGGATGTGCTGGTGTTTTTGAATTTTTTGCCTTTGGAGGAAACATTGAAAAGGCAATCTCGGCTTGCCACAGGTGAACAGCAACATGTCCACCCTTCAACCTTTACGCCACGTTGTACGATTTGATGGGTGTTTGCCCGAAATATGTAGTGGCTCTGACTTTGTTGCGATTGAGTTGCGGCGGCTCTCACTCAAATCCTTGACGGTGTTAACACTCCCGATACCTCCTGATTCGAACAACCGCCAAGCCGTTCATGTTCCAGCCGGCCCGGTCGGTACTCCTATTGCCACGGTACTGCTATTGCCAGTCTTGTTTGTGGGCGTCGCTCCCCGCTGTGTCTCACAATGACCTGACCCCGCAGTAACCGGGAATTAACAGCACAGCGTATGCCCCCGTTCTCTCCCTGCTTTTGGTGTATTGCAGCGCTCATTTGGATGGCGTCGCGACGACGATCTACTCCTTCTCGGCCAAGCAGGAGTCAGAGGAGCGGCGGCGGCAGGACCTGAAAGAGGAGGTGTTGGACCTCAAGAGCAAGGTAAGCACGCCGCCTGATTTTTGTATATTTTTGAAGGTGCTGCAGTTTAGCGTAGTGTAGTGTTGTGTATAGCCTGAAACATACGGAGAACTACCATCGATGGGAAGACAGCAACCCTCTTGGCCCTCATCGCTCACCCGCTCTCCGCCTTCCCCCCACCGCAATCTCGTCACTGTTGTTGTTTTGGCTCGAAATCTGGTCGCCGTTGACCCTGCGTAGGTGGACGAGGCCGAGACGGCTGCCGATTCGTGTGCGGCCAGCCTGGAGAACCTCGACAAGCAGACTGTTGCCGTTCTGACCGCGGTCGAGAAGGCCGTCGGCGCCCAGAGGTGGAGCGGGGAAGGCCCCGTCTCCTCCGCGGCAACGTACGACAAGATCCGGTACGTACTCGTCGTTGTTTTCGGTTGACCTCAACGGGGGGGGGCACGTGATAGGGCAGTTTAGTGTCGGTTCGGCAAGTGATTGCCGTTGGTGTGGCTGTGCTTGGTGATGGTTGCTCGTCGCGTGGTTTTTGGTGCTTGTGCTGCTGTCACTACTGTCACTGCTCCTGTAGTTACTTCGGGCGGACCCGTGCAGTCTGGACGACCTGTATGGCAACCATTTCGGGAGATATGCACACCCGGGATTGAAGTCCTGATCGTTGTGGAGCGTCCCGCTAGCGCCGTGTGTTGCTCGGTCCCGACCACTTTCAGCAGTTGCGAGCAGAAACTTTCACGGTCGGGCCTAGGTGTTGGCAGGACCAAACGAACCCTTGTCACCCCCTGCCGCCCTATGTCTTTAAATGAAGCGAGAGGCTAGGGGAGGGGCGACAGAAGCAAGAAGTAGCCGTGACCCTCCCCCTCACCCTCCGCTCGCTCGTCTCGGCTGCTTCGATGCCCTTCATTATAGCACCCGCTTGGAGGAGATGGGAGACGTGACGCTGGTTTTCACCAGGCAGCTGCGGGACGACCTCTCCGGCTGCCAAGTCCAGCTGGGAGAAGTCGAGGAAAGGGCCATGGACCGCCTGGAAGAGACGATGGCCTGCGATGAAGAGGTATGCATCAGATACACGTGCCTGAGCGTGACGTCAAGGGTACTGTACCGTGTGTCACGCTATTGCTAGTATCTGTTTTCGCGATTCGGAAGAAGTCGCAGTTTCAACACCAATTGTATTGTTGCATGCCCAGGGCGATCAATCGCGGGGCCCTAAAATAGTATTTCGATCGATAGTCTACAGTACATTCACAGCAGCGCTTGCATGTTTTCAAGCATGCCTTGAGCGGTCGCAAAGGCATCGCCGGGAGAGGTACAGCGGTGAGTTACTACACAGTAGGGGGGTGGGGGAAAGTGATACTCGACGTCACGCCACGCTATCGACCGAACCAAAGGCAGTGGATCATGCGTTAGGAGGAAGGTACATACACGCTTGTCGAACCTGCTGGCATTGGAGTGCATGGGCAGCCCACCGTGGAAAGATAACACAGCCCGACCCCCGGAGAGCCAGTCATGACGAGAGAAACTCTGTAACCCCCCTCTACAAACCGTCGGCCCCTACCGCTGTGTCTCGTTGGTTGTTTTTGTGCGATTCTCACTTTTAACAGGCGCGCGAGACCCAAGCGGCGTTTATCGCGTGCGCCGCGGAGCTCCAGCGACTGGATTCCCAGTCGCTAGACCTCGCCCACTTCTTGGCCGACAAGGCCATGCAGGCGGGAGCACCGGTGTCCATTGCGGATGCAGTGGACGCACCCAAGCCGCCGGTGTACGGCTTGCTGAACTTCTTATTCCGCCCACGGGGTGTCAGCAATGACGCCACGGTGAAGACAGTCCCGTCGCGAGTCGGGTAAGCATTCGTGCGCGTTATCGGATGCGAGGGGAGAGTGCATGCCAGATTTTTACGGGGTCGAAGTGGTGACTGCCTTGCCGTCC